ACAGTACCTATAAACATAGGTTTAATAAGTTTGGTTGTACTCTAGACTCTTTGAATCTTTCCCTCCAATTTTAGAATTTTAGAGAACGAGCACAGCAAAGTTGGGAGAGGTGGTGGAAAGGAATTTCCAAGTAGCACATCATAGAAGGAACACTGAGATATAGAAATATTCGCGGTTGTGGACCACTTAGATCTCCTATGTATTCTTGTAAAGCCATCTACATCAGACATGAGTACAAACTTTAACTTACATAAAACACGGCTTGTATAATGTATTCAAAACTTCTGTTATAAATGGTATCTATCTGGGAAAATTGGCTTTCTCCAGCTAAAGACTAATATTAAATTAGTGTTTAAATGTTGATAATTTCTACCTCTATCATTCATTACTCTGAAATTGCTTTAAGCAACAAAGTCTCTCCGCAAACTTTTGTTCTGTATGTGAAGCTTGTGCAGGACTTGTCGAAGTCTCCTTGCCATGGGCGAGACTACGTCTAGTAGTTAACCATTAATTACATGAGTGAGCAATGATCACTCAAGCCTCGTTAGTATCCTTGAGGTCTACTGGCTAAGACTCGTTATCCACCATTGATTTCCTTCTTTGTTTTCCAGCTGTTGTTAAGGTGTATTCCTTTCTTTGTGACGGCAGCTTGCTTTAAAATACTTATCATATGAATAGGAGTCTAAAATGAATGACATGTGTAGCCTTTATGTGATTTTGTTTTTTAAATTTTCGTTTCATTCAAATGTGGAAAATACATGTAAATATCTTGTGTTGTTCCTCTACTATATGGACAAGTTTAGAGATCTGTTATTCTACATAAAGTGTAGGTATACATAGGTGTTCTCACGTAGTACTTACTTAGTTGTGTTTGCGGGGGTTGAACTTTGTTTTTTTGGTCCAGCTTCTGAACCGTCATTCAACTGGTGTACAGGTTTCTGAGCCTATTGGGCCCTATCTTATCTACATTTGAAACTGTGTATGTTTCTTTCCTCTTTTAGAAGCTTGCTGATTTCTGTTGCTGGAGCATCTTGACTGTTACTCCTGTCTGTTTCTTCAACTTACACACAAATCTCATATAGCGTACTGTGTTAACGGCTTTATGACATTCCAAGAAAATGCAGTCTGTCCACTATTCTCTGTCTTGCCTAGTTTTTGTCTCCTGGTCATAGAATTCTATGAAACCTGTGACGCATGATTTACCATCACCGAACCCATGATTGTGGTGTGTTACAAATACTACTAAATTTGTTCTCACAAACTTCTTCATCACCTTGCAGGGTATGAAAGTTAGGGACAACACTAACCTGTAGTTCAGTGCCTCCTGCCTATCACTCTTTTTGTGTAGCTGGACTATGGAGGCATCTTCCAAATTTCTGAGAGATTTCCTGTTTCCAGTGACCTATTATTCACCTTTGAGTGGCACACACACACACACAGCAATTCAGCATTCTCTTTTAAGATCTGTGGTGATATTCTGCCAGTTTCAACAGCTTTTGTCATGTCCTGCTTCAGTAATTTAGTTTTTTAATTTAGTTCATTTATTATGCACCCCATACCCATCTTGTGGGCGATAGTGGAAAAGGTTACAGAGACACATAATGAGCTCAGGGACTGAACCCACAATTCAATTAGGTAAGCAAGTTACAATGCCTCTAACCTCATCTCGGGTAATTTTAAATTATTTCAACATTGGTTGGCTTACCGCCACCTCTCTCAGTTTGGGGACTTCTCCTTGCTCTATTTGTGAACCTCCTGGAATCTCTTGTCGAGTTCTTCACACATTTCTGTCATTGTGTACCTGTTCTCCCAATTTCTCAGTTTCATCACTGTTCTTCCTCCTAGCCCTTTTGTATCTCTCTCTGCTCTCTGGTGTTCTGTTATTTCTGTAGTTTCTCCAAGTTCTTATACTTGATTGACCTGCTTCCTTACATGCCTGATTCAACCATGGATTACCTCTTTTCATTTCTTTTTGTGCCAGGATTAACTTGTCCGCAACCTCTTGCACTTCTGAGTGATGTAGTCCATCATATCTTGTAAAGTCATTTCGCTGAGTTCTGTTTCCTATTGTAACAGGAATTCATAATAACAGCAATTAGGAATTTTCTCGTTATAAATTCCCCTTTCATATGCCAGTCCTTTGTTTTCTGGTCCCTTCCGTAGGTGGGTCATTGTTACTTCCACTAAATCCTCAAATATCAGTACACTGTGGTTCCTCATCCCCATGAAGGATTTTGGTTTGACTTTCATATTGTCGGACTCGTTCAGAGTGAATAACAGATCAAGTCTTGCTGGCTGGTTTTCCCCTCATTCTTGTAGGTAGATATGTTGATCCAGAAAATTGTCATTGCCACGTCTAATAGTCTAGCTCTTCATGTATCTGTACCTCCATGTGATTCACTTTTTCGAGTCCATCTTCCCATGGTTGAGGTCTCCCATTACTAACAGTGTGGATCTATTCCTGCAGGCGAACGAAGTTGCTCTTTTATATAAATGGTTGCCATGTTGCATCTATCAGACTCCTGTCTGGCCCTTCTGTACATATGTGTATTTTTGAATATTCATATGATGAATTGGTCAACATATGTGTATTTTTTAAATAAACGTTTATCTATTTAATCGATGAATTTTGGCAAGTTTATATTTAAATAATTATAACTAAGTTTGCTCACATTAAAGCCAAAAAATACAAAATGTAACCTTGTCGATTTTTTTAAACATAAAAATTGCCTTGAGTGAGTAAATGGGTAGCTACCTCACCAACTGTGTATGTGTGTACTCATCTAGTTGTGCTTGTAGGGGTTGAGCTCTGGCTCTTTGGTCCCGTCTCTCAATCGTAAATCAACTGATGCACAGATTCCTGAGCCTACTGGGTTCTATCATATCTGCAGTTGAAGTGTGTGTGTGTGTATGTGTGTATGTGTGTGTGTGTGTGTGCTCACCTAGTTGTACTCACCTAGTTGTGTCTGCAGGATCGAGCATTGACTCTTGGATCCCGCCTTTCGAGCATCGGTTGTTTACAGCAATGACTCCTGTCCCATTTCCCTATCATACCTGGTTTTAAAATTATGAATAGTATTTGCTTCCACAACCTGTTCCTGAAGTGCATTCCATTTTCCCACTACTCTCACGCTAAAAGAAAACTTCCTAACATCTCTGTGACTCATCTGAGTTTCAAGCTTCCATCCATGTCCCCTCGTTCTGTTACTATTCCGTGTGAACATTTCGTCTATGTCCACTCTGTCAATCCCTCTGAGTATCTTATACGTTCCTATCATGTCCCCCCTCTCCCTTCTTCTTTCTAGTGTCGTAAGGCACAGTTCCCTCAGGCGCTCCTCATACCCCATCCCTCGTAGCTCTGGGACGAGTCTCGTTGCAAACTTCTGAACCTTTTCCAGTTTCTTAATATGCTTCTTCAGATGGGGACTCCATGATGAGGCGGCATACTCTAAGACTGGCCTTACGTAGGCAGTGTAAAGCGCCCTAAATGCCTCCTTACTTAGGTTTCTGAATGATGTTCTAACTTTTGCCAGTGTAGAGTACGCTGCTGTCGTTATCCTATTTATAGTCGTTATCCTATTTATAGGATAACGATAATAGGATTTATGTGTGTTTGTGTGTGTTTGTGTGTGTGTGTGTGTGTGTGTGTGTGTGTGTGTGTGTGTGTGTGTGTTTACTCTCATATTTGGGCCTGCAGGATGGAGCATTAGCTGTTGGACACCACGTTTCTAGCCGTCGGTGTGTTATATTACTATAGCAATATATAACGTATTGCCTTTTATTCCTGTCCTTTTTCCCTATCATATTTACTTTTAACATTTTGAAGTAGAGTTTGCTTCCAGAAACTACTCTTTTAGTTTATTCCATTTTCCCACTACTCTTACGCTAATATAAAACCTTCTAGCATAACATCTCTGTGACTCAGGCCGGATTTGCGAATGTAGGCCGCACATCCAGCCTACACAAATTATTGTCTATATGGCTCATTTGGGGGGCTCAGTTTCCTCCTGTTCCCTAAGTGAATAGGAGGAAAGTGACGTCTTTATGTTACGCGAGGTTTAATTTCAGTAGTTTTTCCCTTGGTGGTATACCTCTGAACACTCTCTGATTGTTTGTTTCTACTAAATAAAGCCTACACGCAGCAGCCACATTCTCCAGGACTGTCTGTCATATTTGGAATCCAAGGTTCTGAATGATTCCTTACATAAGTTTCTAAAAGCAGTTCTTATGTGCGCCATATTAGACAAATTCAATGTGATATCAACACCCAGATCATTTTCGCTTCCTGATTCATGAAAGATTTCGTCTCTCAATTGGCACTCTGCATCCGGTCTCCTTCTCTTTGTTACACCTGTTTTAATTACTTTACACTTTCTCTAGTTGATCTCTTGTAGCCATTTGATGGATCATTCCTTCAGTCTGTCCAGGTCATCTTGCAGTCTCATGCTTTCTTCCTTTCTCAAATCCTTCACATAATTTTTGCATCAGTAAACACTGAATGGAATGAGTCTATACTCAAATGGAATGAGTCTGTATGGGATGAATCTATCTCCTCTGGAAGATCGTTTACGCATATCAGTCCACATGTGTGTAAGCCGGATACATTGAATGTTAATACGAGTTTCAAGTATGTTAAGTGTTTGTTGTGGATTTAGTGTAGATGCTTTTTGGGTGATCTTGCAATAACTGTGGGTGCGAGCTGCGTGTGGATTAAGTCAGTATTCAGTGGGAACAGGCAACAAATATTTATTGCCGGGATTACTTGCTTTGCGAACATGTTCTTATTTTGAAAAGAAAAAGTTCTTGAGCATGATAAAGCCAAAGCTGCAGAAGCCTACTAACACTCAACAAGGCTTACTGGCACTCCAGCAGACCTACTGGAACTGCAGCAAGCCTACACAGGTACACTGTTCGTTCCTGTGTACCGTTCCTGTGTACCGTTCCTGTGTACCGTTCCTGTGTACCGTTCCTGTGTACCGTTCCGTTATGTTTTGTTTCAGTGTATCATTATTTTACCGTTGATCCCGGTGAATCGTTTTTCACGGTTCTTCCATTGACACCAAGCCGCTATTTTGGACCAGAATTCAAAGCAATTAATGGATCGTGTTTGCGGTTAGAGTTCAAGGCTTCAAATGAGCCGCCTGATGAGACCTCACTTGCTATCACACGTCTCGAGGTGTATCAAGGTGTGATAATAGTGCGAGTGTTTCTTAGTTATATCTTTATACAAAGATATTTGCAGACTATCCAAAGTTGCAGGCCAGATGCCTGGGGTTAGCCTCACCAAACATTTCAAGATGAATTATTGGGGATATGGATATAGCCTCGTTCCTTTCTATAGATACACTCTATAGCAGTAATCATCAAAAGAAGGCAACAAGCAGGGAAGACTATGTAGCAACGAGATCTGGGAAAAAACTTTAACTGAATATCCGAGAGTCGGGATAGCCAGGGTGGGACCAAGTGTCATACTAAGAAATATTGGCCTCTATAGTAACCCCCGCCCCACCCACTCTGTATTTTCATTGTCTGAAATATAATCAGGGGTTGTGTTTGCTATAGAGTTTAATGCTTACTCTCGCTGTATTCATTCGGGTTACCGTATTGCATTTTATGGGACAGAGAATGAGCGGGATAGAGTAAGGGGTTGTTGGAGGAGACGGAAGGAGAGAGGGGGGAGAGAAGTATGGAAAGGTTGGAAGAGAGAAGGGGGAGGAGGAGGAGGAGGAGAGGTGAAAGAGAAGAAAGTGGGAGGAGGGAGGGTGGAGACAGGGTAGTGGAGGAAGTTGAGGAAGAAAAATGGATAGGGGAAGAGAGTAGGGGATAGGGGAATCGAGGAGAGGATAGGGATTAGGGGGAGATTAGGAGACCTATGTGCAGCCGCGCACCTCGTCTACTAAATTAAGAGAGAAACTGATAGAACTAATTGTTTCAGTATACTATTTTTGGGTAACAAATTACCAGGAGAAGCGCTTCGATGTTTTGACTATATACCATTAGGAAGGGATATAAGGATGGAGGGAAGGAATAATTTCTAACCCTTTGGCCCATTGGGGGATCGAACGCCGACCTCCAAGAGTCGAGAGACGTCGCTGTATCAACCAGTCCAAGTGGTTGGATACTCTCACATACATTACATCCTACATAGATATATTAGTAGATTTGGAAATCAATCAAACTGTCAAACGTCTTAAGTTTGTAATTATCCGTTCATCACACCAGTCACACTCATCTTGCAGGGACTGTAGTCACAAAATTCATGCTCCTAACCCAGTGTTTGATCTTTAGCAGAGAACATTTTAAAAGTATTTAAAGCAGTGAATATTTTAAAGGAGGGTAAGATAACTGAATCATTTGCATCTATAAGTTTCTTTAATTCCCGTTGGCGGAAACACAAAGCACATAAAGGTGTCCCTTAATTGTCAACTGCTGACCCTTACACAGAAAGCAACCCACAACACTTGCCTAACTTCCGGGTACCTATTTACTGCTAGGTGAACAGAGGCATCAGAGGAATGGAAACGTGCCCAAAAGTTTTTGTCCCTCTCGGGGGGTGAAACCGGGACCCTCTACTTAACCTGAGGCAGAATGTGGATCCCGCATTAGCGTTTTTCAGGTGTTTTGTTGGCAAATGTAAATGTAACATTTCAAACAAGGTTTGTCTGGACGTACCTTGTAGAGGGGACAATTCCTTACCTAGTCTCACCTGTAACACACACACACTACATCACCTAGATGTAGTGTGGCACTGTTTCAATCCAAACACTCGACACATAGTCTCGAGACTCCCGTTCAAATGGAATTGACAGAGGTACTTAAAACCTATTCTTATTCGAGCTGTGACAATATTCCACTCTGCATGTTACGTATTTATACATGATGTTGTATTTGACTTTGTAATAGACAATAGACCTGCTGGTGAAGGTCTATTGTCAATAGCTGAAAGAAAGCGTTTCCCCCTTTGTGCGAATGTACTGTATTTGTCTGGAATTGTACATATTTACATGTAATTGATAATATAAATGTCCTGTCTTTCTAAGCTCATTACTCGTGTTTATCCTCCTAAGTAGTTGTTAGCCACGATATCTATGCAGCAGTGTATTCCAAATCTATGCAGCAGTCTATTCTTAATGTATGCAGCAGTCTATTCCTAATCTATGCAGCAGTGTATTCCAAATCTATGCAGCAGTCTTTTCCCAATCTATGAAGCAGTCTATTCTTTTCCGAATCATTCTTTCTTTGCCTTCTCTGCTTACTGTCATCTAGGATCGAGTCTTTCAGCCAACATCGCCACTAATCACGGCCTTTCTTGTCCTTACAGAGCGGAAGCGAGGCCGCCAGACCTACACCAGGTACCAGACCCTCGAACTCGAGAAGGAGTTCCACTTCAACCGCTACCTGACGCGGCGACGGAGGATAGAGATCGCCCACGCCCTCTGCCTCACCGAGCGGCAGATCAAAATATGGTTCCAGAACCGTAGGATGAAGTGGAAGAAGGAAAACAAGAGCAAAGTGGAGAATGGAAACCCCCTTTCAGAAACCCCTACCCCAACTTCCCCAACGCAGTGACCTCAGTGCTGTGGCTCGGGCTGCCAAATATTGACCTAGAATGACCTAGGGGTGTGCAAAAGTGCCAGTGAAGAGTGTGTGACCCATTTTATACTGGATAATTAAGTGCTATTTTACATAGTTTACGTATATGTACTCCATATGTACAGTGAATTTCATCCCCTCCATCCCACCCAACCCCAAAAATTAATTTGACAAGTGTATCACTGAGCAAAGCAGTGACTGTGTAAGTCTTGATGATGTTCCGTTAAGACGCTATAGTGTAAAGTGTATTCTGTGTTTTATTGGTGTTCAAGCCAGGGAACAACCTATCAGTGCCAGTACTAAAACAGCAAAAAAGTTTTAAAAAATATATAAATATATATATAAAAATAAAAGGGGCTTCGGTAGCCGGGTGCAGCAGTGACGTGGCACTCTCCTATTGGTGTAAGCTTAATGCGTTAGCAGTGACTTTAAATTCGTTGCCGCCTTAACGACAATACCGTCAACAGCGAAGACTACAATCATTCCAAGGCCCAGATGAGTAAAATCGTTCACGTATCGGAAACACCCACCACTTGACAAGCAACCTTCAACCTACCCGCTCCCCTCCTCCCCCCTTATCTCCCCTACCAACATGTCAGGCGCCAAAACCCCCTCGCTAGCCACTACCAAAAAACAAAAACAAAAAAAAAAAACATAAGGAGAGTCTAGCTGTTTGAACCTGATGTAATGTTTCCAGTTGCTTCTCCTACTCTGGTATTGTTTGTATAAAATAAGTTTCAATACAAATGTTTCCCCACTAGGAACAACCAAGTATATCATATATATGCTAGATTGTAGCAGAGGTGAAACTTAAGCTAGGTGTTATTGACTACAACTACTACTAGTTTCCACACAGGTTACAAATATTAAAAAGGAAAGACTGTCCCTATTACGAGGTGATCCCTTTATATAGATGGACCACCTATGTGACTTTCAAAACGATGGTTCAGCAGTAGAGATGATTTTTTTTTTTTGACGCTGCGGTTCCCTCTCGGGCAGTTGAATCATTAGTTTTCATGCAGATGGATCTCTACAGAGAATATGGTTGACAACGATAGCCAATCTCAGTAGATACCATCTACAAAAATGGTCCGTCAGTGGGGCTGTCCCTCTCCCTCTACAGAGATGGCCCATCTTCAGGGTCGATCCCTTGATCCAGTTGGTCGCTCTTCGGGAGGAATAGTTGTATGGGCAAACCTGAAACCAGTCCATATCACAGAAGGTATCCACATCTCTCGTGCTCAATAATATTTTGTAATTTTGGTTCCTTGTTTGGGTACGTCATCCGTTGTTTTAGTGCTGCAGCGTCGTCCGTTTAGCGCCTCCACTTGTTGCCCATATAATGCTATTCTGCCGACCGCGTGTTGAGGTTTATGAAGGACGGGTACTAGGAGACTCACCTTTGGAAAGCTACAGTGTCGAGTGGGCGACGAAGGATCGTTGTTAGCAGAGACTTCGATAGAAACTCTAACGATAAGGACAGCCATGAAAAACGTAAAATCATACATTTGTCAAGGCTTATGAAAGGATTTTATGATGGACGTCAGCCCATTTGTGGTTAGCACTTTCATTATCAGCATGTTCAGCATCACCTCTTTTAATTCTTATTCCCCCTAACACTATTATTTATCTTTCACTTCCTTCAGGTCTCGTCCCTCTATACTCCTTTGTCTTCCCTTCATCTTGTCTTTGATAGCTGAGAAAATTCATTCATTTCCATCCAAACATTCTTATCATCTTTAAGAATATACTTGACAACTGTACCTTCCAAAGTTGAGTCTATATAATTTATGTAGTTAGAACTTAGAATGAAGCAGATCTGGACGGTGGGATTTTTCTTGTCGAGGTTTAGGGATAGAGAGTTGGACTTCCTCGGAGGCATTTGGGAAGAACTCTAAGTCCCTCACAAGATTCGTGAACCTAAATGGTTAGTGGAGAAATCAAAGGAATATTTTGGTTCTCTTGCACTGTGCTGTTGGGGATTTCATGATCATGTGTTCCTGTATACGACTCCTCTCAAATGATGCCACAGGAAGCACACTGAGACGACTCGGTAGGTTGATATAGAGGCAGATGGGAATTCTGAAGTTAAGTCGTTGATTAGGTGAACTTGAAAAGTTTATTGATTTCTTTCTGTAACAGCCTGTTCACTGCTATGGGAGTTTGTCCGTCTCTAAAACATCCTAATTCGAATCTTCATTTTTGAAATTATTGAAAATATTAGAATAAAATCAACAAAGCAAAAAGAGGATCAGAATTTGTAAATTTTACTCCTGATATAATTGTTTAGGTCCAAGACGAGTTGATATATAAACACTAAGCTTTACTGTGTACGACCAGTGAGATGATTTAAGTTCCCTCTAGGAACACTAGAAGTTCACAACTGCACAGAATATTTTACAGACGGGTGTTAGGTCCGTGCAATAGGATTTCTTGTTTTTTGTAAATGTAAGGCAGAGTAACTTAGGATTATTTTTAGGAATTCTCCAGATTGTTTTTATGTATTCTGATGCATACTTGTCTTTCTTCGAATGTTATGCTAAGTGACCAGATGTTCTTCCTGAGTTGTTCTGCCACCCCTCCAAGGAACATGTCCTAATTACCAAACCTTCTTGGAGACTATTATTAATTATTATTTTGTAAATTAGGGAGTACAGTTTTAAATGGTCTGAAGGGAAGGTCAGACTTTGTCCAACTACCATTGGCTCATACAAACAACAGCGAAAATATAGAATATACCTAACAGTGAATAGACTTAAATATTATATATTTTTCTAAACAAGTCTTCACTTACCCTTCCCGATTTACGTTATAGGGGACAAGTTTTAATAGTCTAAATTGGTTTCTTAAAACATAGCAAAAATTGCAATGGTTAGCATCTGTACGTAGTAGACTGAAATTAAGATACGTTTTCGATGGGTCTAAGAATTGTTTGTATAACGACTGGTAGGACTTGGACTTTCATGCTTTGTTGTAGTGAGTGTATTGACTTGGAAGAGATCTGGATAATAAATCAAACCGAGAGCATGACAGAAGTAAATTCAGGGATAAGCTGCACAAACAGCGTATCCTACTTGCACATGCATGTTGCAAGATCAACGATTATGGCCCAAGGTCTTGGATGTCGGCAAGGTTGGTTTCCCTATCTTGTTATTAAAGGTAATAATCCTTACTCGAGTACCAGCCTCTAGTCCACAATTGCTGGTGTTGAAACATCATGGTTTTAAGAATGTTGCCAAATTCGCTTTAAAAAAAAATAAATGTTGCAGAAAGAGATCGAATGACGCAACGTCCCCCCCTTCCTCCCTCCTCCCCACTTATCCTCCTCTATCTATCAATTTCATTATACGAGTTTCTTCTTCCCCCGCCACGCAGAGCTAATTCAATTTCTATTACCATATTAGCTGTCAAGATTCAGTACCAAAAGGCTAATTTATGACTACAGTGTATCTCCAACTTGGTCCAGCAGCCGAAAACGCACGTTACCTTAGTTTAGTATGTGGATCTCGTCAACTCTCTCTCTGTTTCCCTCTGTTTCTCCCTCTGTCTCTCTTTCTCTCTAAGTACTGCAACTGCTAATGTTAATGATATTAATAGTGACCTACTATTTCTGACTTCTGTCCTCATATGTATTGATCTTGGTAGAGGTAGCGAGTGATCTGTCTCTCGGTATAGTACCTTGTGTGGAGATGTTGTAAGTAAGGTCTATATGTTAGTGTATTTACAGTTCAAGAGCGACTTTTAAAATGAACTGGGACATAGGCCCTTCTTGCCACAAACTATCGAACGACAGCCAGCCGGTTGACCGCCGTGGGAATTTTTGTAATTATTTTATAGTTATTTTATTATATATTCCTAGCTCTGTTCTGGTGTCATATGAATTTATTGATTTTAAATTATAAATGTCTTGTTTCTTTCAAAAGATATTTTTCCGGGGTTCTTCCTCGTAGTAATAATAAATGAAATAAACTCAGTGTTACTTTCCCCCAACTCCGTGTATACGAGCCGTGTATACTATACTTATCTTACCCAACCAACGAAAGCCTGTAGCCAGTGTATTGACATGTGTAGTGTTATATAGAAGTGTGACTGAATTTTAGGTTTAATCAAAGCCTAGAGTATTATGCCAGCAGTATGGGTATCTGCATACTTTACTGGACCGAGTTTATTGTTTCAGAAATCTGTGGTATACCCAAAAACTGTTGTTTTGTCAACTCATTAGTTTTAAGTCTTATGCAAATACTTGATGAAGATATTGATGCTTTTCATAATTATTTTCATTTCTTTTCTCCCTTTCTCTCTCTCTCTCTCTCTCTCTTTCCCCTCTTTTTTTCATTACTTTACCTGAAAAACTTTCTATTTATTTTATTCGTTCCCATGAATCAAGATGTATTCCTACATGTATCCATTAAATAACCTAATAAACTAAAGTACATACGGACTGTATCCATTTTAAAGCGTGGAACCTGATGACTTGTGCAACAGCCGTTTCTTGAAGTTTAGTGGAGCAATTGTGTTGTACCCTGATACTAGTTTTAATATTGATAGGTGTTCTATATTTTGTAACCATGTACACAAAGGTGAGGAGATATACGTAACTCTATACCAAGCAGTATCAGAACCAAATAGACGCTTGTAAGTAATGCATAGTGCTTTTTGGCTTTCTTACAATGATGGTGTTTACATTAGTTGTTATTGAGGCATGTGCAATGTATCCAGGGGTTCCATAGTGGGGTTTTTCTATTATATATCTCTCTTCTTCTCCCTCTCTCTCTCTGCAAGTTACCAAAACGGACCTCAAAATATCCCATCCCTTCAAAAAACCCCATGCCCCACCTCCCCCCCATACTTCCCTCCCTAGATAATTATCTTGACGATAATGCTACCACTTGTGTATGTAGGGTTTGGCGTTTGATCAAGCCTTCGGCTGCAACATGATATGGCAATAACAACCAATGTATCGTTACTTATTTCGG